CATATACGTCAGGCCCATACTGGAGTATGCAGCACCAGTTTGGAATCCACACCTGGTCAATCACATCAAGAAATTATAGAAAGTGCAAAGGTTTGCAACAAGACTAGACCCAGAGCTATGGGGATAGTCCTACGAAAAAAAGTTAAAGGTTAAGGGAAATCGGCCTGACGACACTGGAAGAAAAAGGGTCAAGGGACACATGATGACGATACATAAAATGCTGCCCGGAATAGAAAAGGTGGACAGAGACAGGATGTTCCAGGAAGGGGACACAGAAACAAGAGGTCACAATTGGAAGTTGAAGACTCAGATGAGCCAAAGGGATGTTAGGAAGTATTTCTTTAGTCATAGAGTTCTCAGGCAGTGGAACATACATAAAGTGACGTAGTGGAGGCCGGAACCATACATAGTTTTAAGACGAGGTTTGATAAAGCTCATGGAGCAGGGAGAGAGAGGACCTAGTAGCAATCAGTGAAGAGGCGGGACCAGGAGCTATGACTCAACCCCTGCAACCACAAATAGGTGAGTGCACACACACACACACACACACACACACACACACACACACACACACACACACACACACACACACACACACACACACACACACACACACACACACATGTATAGTATGCAAAATCAAAATCATGGAGAAGATTATCAGGAGAAGAGTGGTGGAACACCTACAAAGGAACGATCTCATCAACAGCAGCCAACATGGTTTCAGGGACGGGAAATCCTGTGTCACAAACCTACTGAAGTTCTATGACATGGTGACAGCAGTAAGACAAGAGAGAGAGGGGTGGGTAGATTGCATTTTCTTGGACTGCAAGAAGGCGTTTGACACAGTTCCACACAAGAGATTGGTGCAAAAACTGGAGGGCCAAGCAGGGATAACAGGGAAGGCACTACAATGGATCAGGGAATACTTGTCAGGAAGACAGCAGCGAGTCATGGTACGTGGCGAGGTGTCAGAGTGGGCACCTGTGACCAGCGGGGTCCCACAGGGGTCAGTCCTAGGACCAGTGCTGTTTCTGGTATTTTGTGAACGACATGACGGAAGGAATAGACTCTGAGGTGTCCCTGTTTGCAGATGACGTGAAGTTGATGAGAAGAATTCACTCGATCGAAGACCAGGCAGAACTACAAAGGGATCTGGACAGGCTGCAGACCTGGTCCAGCAATTGGCTCCTGGAGTTCAATCCCACCAAGTGCAAAGTCATGAAGATTGGGGAAGGGCAAAGAAGACCGCAGACGGAGTACATTCTAGGGGGCCAGAGACTACAAACCTCACTCAAGGAAAAAGATCTTGGGGTGAGTATAACACCAGGCACATCTCCTGAAGCGCACATCAACCAAATAACTGCTGCAGCATATGGGCGCCTAGCAAACCTCAGAACAGCATTCCGACATCTTAATAAGGAATCATTCAGGACCCTGTACACCGTGTACGTTAGGCCCATATTGGAGTATGCGGCACCAGTTTGGAACCCATACCTAGCCAAGCACGTAAAGAAACTAGAGAAAGTGCAAAGGTTTGCAACAAGAATAGTCCCAGAGCTAAGAGGTATGTCCTACGAGGAGAGGTTAAGGGAAATCAACCTGACGACACTGGAGGACAGGAGAGATAGGGGGGACATGATAACGACATACAAAATACTGAGAGGAATTGACAAGGTGGACAAAGACAGGATGTTCCAGAGATTGGACACAGTAACAAGGGGACACAGTTGGAAGTTGAAGACACAGATGAATCACAGGGATGTTAGGAAGTATTTCTTCAGCCACAGAGTAGTCAGTAAGTGGAATAGTTTGGGAAGCGATGTAGTGGAGGCAGGAGCCATACATAGCTTTAAGCAGAGGTATGATAAAGATCACGGCTCAGGGAGAGTGACCTAGTAGCGATCAGTGAAGAGGCGGGGCCAGGAGCTCGGACTCGACCCTCGCAACCTCAACTAGGTGAGTACACACACACACACACACACACACACACACACACACACACACACACACACACACACACACACTATATAATATATATATATATATTATATATATATATATATATATATATATATATATATATATATATATATATATGTCGTGCCGAATAGGCAGAACTTGCCATCTTGGCTTAAATAGCAACGTTCATCTTGCCATATAGGACAAGCGAAAATTTGTGTATGCAATAATTTCGCCAAAATCATTCTGAACCTAACGAAAAAAATATATTTCACTGTGTTTGTTTAGTATTAAATTATTGTAAACAAATCTAAAATATATATAGTTGGGTTAGGCTAAAATACATTGTTCTTGTTATAATAAGGTTAGGTAAGTTTTCTAAGATTCTTTTGGTGCAAAATTAAATTTTTTTACATTAACATTAATGAAAAAAATATATCTTTAAACGTATAAGAGAAAATTTTAGAAACGACTTAATTTTAAATGAGTTCTTGCTAATTGATCAGTTTTACATATTCGGCACGACATATATATATATATATATATAATATATATATATATATATATATATATATATATATATATATATATATATATATATATATATATAAAAACATTGCCCGTTTCCTATCAAGGCAGGGTGGCCAGAAAAAGAAAAACTTTCATCATCATTCACTCCATCACTGTCTTGCCAGAAGGGTGCTTTACACTACAGTTATAAAACTGCAACATTAACACCCCTCCTTCAGAGTGTAGACACTGTAATTCTCATCTCCAGGAATCAAGTCCGGCCTGCCGGTTTCCCTGAATCCCTTCATAAATGTTACCGTGCTTACACTCCAACAGCACGTCAAGTCCTAAAAAGCATTTGTCTCCATTTTCTTCTGTCTAACATGCTCACGCACGGTTGCTGGAAGTCCAAGCCCTTCGCACACAAAACCTCCTCTACCCCCTCCCTCCAACCTTTCCTAGGCCGACCCATACCCCGCCTTCCCTCCACTACAGATTTATACACTCTCGAAGTCATTCTATTTCGTTTCATCCTCTCTACATATCCAAAGCATCTCAATAACCCCACCCCCCCTCAGCCCTCTGGATAATAGTTTTGGTCATCCCACACCTCCTCATCTCCAAACTACGAATTCTCTACATTATATTCACACCACTCATTGCCCTCAGACATGACATCTCCACTCCCTCCAGCCTTCTCCTTGTTGCAACATTCACCACCCATGCCTCAAACCCATACAAAAGCGTTGGAATAACTATACTCTCATACATTCCCCTCTTAGCTTTCATGGACAAAGTTCTTTGTCTCCACAGACTCCTAGGTGCACCACTCACCCTTTTTCCCTCATCGATTCTATGATTCACCTCATCTTTCATAAACCAATCTGCTGACACGTCCAATTCCAAATATCTGAATACATTCACCTCCTCCATACTCTCCATCCAATCTGATATCCAATCTTCCATTGCCTAAATTTTTGGTTATCCTTATCACCTTACTGTTTCCTACATTCACTTTTAATTTCCTTCTTTTACATACCCTACCAAACTCATCAACCAACCTCTGCAACTTCTCTTCAGAATCCCCCAAAAACAGTGTCATCAGCAAATTTCAACTGTGACAACTCCCATTTTGTGTTAGATTCTTTATCTTTTAACCCCACACCTCTTACCAACACCCGAGCATTCACTTCTCCTACAATTCCATCTACAAATATATTGAACAACCATGGTGACATCACACATCCCTGTCTAAGGCCTACTTTTACTCGGAAATAATCTCCTTTTCACCTGCATACTTTAACCTGAGCCTCATTATCCTCGTAAAGACTTCTGTGCTTGCAATAACCTGCCTCCTATTCCATACATTTGCAACATCTGCCACATTGCCCCGCTATTCACCATGTCATACGCCTTTTCCATATCTATAAAAGCCACAAAAACCTCTTTACCCTTAACTAAATACTGTTCATCTACATGTTTCACTGCAAACACACCCCCTACCCTTCCTTAAGCCTCCTTGTTCATCTGCTATCCAGCTCTCCGTCTTACTCTTATTTCTTTCAATAATGCGCTTTACCAGGTATACGCAACAGACTTATTCCCTTATAATTTTTACACTCTCTTTTATCCCCTTTACCTTTAAACGAGGCAACTATGCATGCTCTCTGCCAATCCCTAGATACCTTACCCTCTTCCATACATTTATTAAATAAAAGCACCAACCACTCCAACACTATATCCCCACCTGCTTTTAACATTTCTATCTTTATCCCATCAATCCTAGCTGCTTTACCCCCTTTTCATTCTAACAACTGCCACACGAGCTTTCCGCACACTCACAACTGGTTCTTCCTCACTCCTACAAGATGTTATTCCTCCTTGCCCTATACACGAAATCACAGCTTCCCTATCTTCATCAACATTTAACAATTCCTCAAAATATTCCCTCCATCTTCCCAATACCTCTAACTCTCCATTTAATAACTCTCCTCTCCTATTTTTAACTAACAAATCCATTTGTTCTCTAGGCTTTCTTAACTTGTTAATCTCACTCCAAAACTTTTTCTTATTTAAAACAAAATTTGTTGATAACATCTCACCCGCTCTCTCATTTGCTCTCTTTTTACATTGCTTCACAAATCTCTTATTATTTTTTATAAACCCCGGCTTTGGGCGAAACGTCGCAATAAAAGGATTCTCTTCTAACAATGTCTTTATTTCCACTTTTCCAATCTTGTCATTGATTACATATCTCTAATTAGACCGGTAATATTCACGGTATTTCTGCACCGTTGACTGTGAGGTAATTTGCATATACATATTATTCCTAAGCGTGTTCGTGATTTCTCGCATTGTCAAGCAACTTTCCTTAATAATGTGAAAAATCACAAACGTGTTTAGAAACATAGTTTGTTTCTCGCTGTGGTTATATTACATGTTAAGATATCACCTGTTTCTTGTAATCTTAATATACCCAGCGGTATGAATGAGGCCATGGCACTCGCCTGGCTCTTGGTGGCACTCACCTGGCTTTTGGTGTCCGTCATGAGCATGCCGTCTTTCCACCAGGTGATGGTAGCAGTGGGCCTCGAACCGGATGACTCACAAACGATGGCATATCTCTCACCCTCAGACAAGCTCTCCACCGTGCCCAGGATTCGCACGTCCAGAGGCGGAACTGTGGGAGAAAATGATAAGTGAGGATGGGGGAATGTGTAGTCTTATTACTACTACTATTCAAAATTCAAAATTTATTTATTTATTTGCAAGTAGTACATTGAGATTATATTTTTACAATAATCGGTTGCAGTACAAAGAGAGCCTCTATTACGCCTTGGCATTATGGGCCGACTTAACTTAATGGCTTACTGACTACTTAACACTAAAGAAATTTATCATAGTTGTACAGTAGTTCTATTAATTATAAGTGAATCTAATTTATGTTTTTTTTATGAAACATGATTCAAGAGTAGTTTACAGTAGTTTACAGTATGAGAATGCTACAATTTGGTGAAGGGCAATACTGCTTTTGGTAGGTATGTATACTTCTATGTGGTAATTTGTCAATATATGAACTTGGTTGTCTAGTCTTGAAGTTTTAAGATATAGGTAACTGGTAGATTTATTGGTAATGTTAAATATTGAGTATTGAGTATTTAGTCTAGTGTGATTAAGTGGCTTTTGAGAAGAGTCTTAAATTGATTTTCAGACCGGGTAATGAATTCCAAATTTTGGGGCTTTTTATGTGCATAGAGTTTTTGCACAGTATGATATGGACACGGGGTACATCAAAAAGAGATCTGTGTCTTGTGTTATGGTCGTGTGACCTGTTACAGTTGGTGAGGAGAAGTTTGAGTGGAGGGTTTATGTTAGCGTGTATTGTTCTATGTATGTAGTAGGCACATTAATAAGTATGGATACTCTTAATGGTGAGCAGAATATTAGTGGAGTATGCTGTCGGGAGTGTGAATTTGTTATCATTCTGACTGCATCCTTTTGCTGGGTTATTAGTGGTCTTAGGTGATTTAATGTTGTTGATTCCCATGCACAAATTCCATGTGAGATAAGGGTAGATGGGTGAATGATACAGTGTAAGGAGAGCTGATTGTGGAACATAGTATTGTCTTTGATAGTATGCCTACAGTCATAGAGATTTTCTTGGTTATTTGTCGTATATGTGTCTGGAACTTGAGGCTACTGTCAAGGTGCATTCCTAGGAATTTTCCCTCTGTGAGTCTTTTGACGGGAGATCCATTTAGCGTTATGTTAAGTGAAACATTTGCAGCTTTGTTTCCAAACTGAATGAAGTGGGTTTTGTCAGTATCCAGGGTAAGTTTATTAGTCATCATCCAGGCAGATATTTTCTGCAATTCGGCATTGACACTGTTGGCGAGTATGATTGGGTTTGGGTGAGAGAAGACGTATGTAGTGTCATCTGCAAATAATGTGGGTTTGACTAGCTGTGATGCATTCGGTAGGTCATTGATATAGATGAGAAAAAGGAGTGGTCCAAGGACACTTCCCTGTGGGACTCCTACTGTGATTGGTTGAGTGGAAGAGTTTGCACCATCTGTGTACACATATTGGCTTCTGTTACTAAGGTATGACTTTAGGTAGTTGAGGGAGTGGCCTCTTATACCACAGAGTGTTAATTTAGTGTACAGCAGTTCATGGTCGACTGTATCAAAAGCTTTACGTAAATCAATGAAAATTCCCAGTGAGACTTCATCCTTTCCGAGAGTGGTATATATTAGTTCTAGCATGTGTATGATAGCATCATTTGTGCTTTTATTATTCCTGAATCCAAACTGACAGGGGTTTAGTATGTTATGTGAGACAAGGTAGGAACAGATCCATCTATGAATTATTTTTTCAATGATTTTAGAGAGGACTGGTAAGTTAGATACTGGTCAATAGTTATACAAGTCAGCTTGGTCACCTCCACTGTGGATCTAAGTGACTTTTGTTATTTTGAGAATTGTTGGGAAGGTGGAGGATTCAATGGATTTGTTAAAAAGTGTTGCAATAATTGGTGACAATACTTGAGAAGCTTTTTTTGTACATAAAAGTTGGCAAGTTGTTTATGTCTCCTGCCTTGTTTTTAAAGGTGTTGATGATGAGCGAGACTTCTGTTGGGTTGGTTGGAGCTAGGAATAGTGTGTTCGGGTAGTTGCTTGTGAGATAATCTGACGGACGGGTGTTTGAGTTTGAGATTTTGCTTGCTAGGTTCTTTCCTGTAGTGGAGAAGAAAACACTGAATCTGTTTGCTGTGTCAGTTGGTGTGAGTGGGGGTTCAACTGATTTTGTTAATTTGATTGTTTTGTTTTTGGATATCTTTTAAGTTCCAAGAATTTCAGATAGAGTTTTCCAGGTCTTTTTCATATCACCTTTGATGTTTTGTAATCTGCTTTCATAATACAATTTTTTTAGACCTTCTTATCAGGCTGGTAAGAGCTGATGAGTAACATTTAGACTGTTCTCTAGTTATTTGACCCATTCTGTACTGTTTTTCATATTGGTGATTTGTGTTAATGGATTTAAGGATGCTGGGTGTTAGCCAGGGACTATTCAGTCTCTTAGTTGTGATCTGTTTAGTTTTTTAGGGCAATGTTTGTTATAGAGGTAATGGGCTTTTTTTTTAGAAAATTGTTTATACATTCATTCACATCTCTATATGTTTCGAGCTCATTTTGCCAGTCGATGTTATTCATAGCTGCTATGAAGTTATTTACAGCTGTCTCGTTTTGTAGTCTGAAGGTAACTTTAGTATTGTCTTGGGGCAATTTACCTAGATTGGTTGTGAGAAAGGTTGGGTAGTGGTCTGTGGTGCTGTCTGTGATTAAGCCTAATTTTAAAGGGAATATGGTGTTAGTCCAGATGTGGTCTATTAAAGAGATACTGGTCTCAGAGAGTCTTGTAAATTTAGATATTGCTGGTAGCAACAAGCAGTTGCTCACAGTGTTTGTGATTTCGATCACTTGTAGGTCTTGTTCCTGTAGTAGATTTATGTTGAAAACTTCTGTCAGCAGTAGGTGGTCTTTTTTCATATGTGCATCAGTTATCAAGTTTCCTAATTTTTCACTAAAGTGGTAAATGTTTGACTGTGGTGCTCTGTAGATGTTTATAACTGTGAGGGTTTTTTGCAGGTCCTTTGATTTAAATTTAGCTATGATATATTCACCATGCTCCTCCCTTGTGCAAGATTTATAGATACATATAAATTGATTTGAGTAGTATATGGCTGCTCCACGCCCATGCTGGTCTATCCTACAGTTGTGTATGGCCGTGTAACCAGGAATAACATAGGCATCTGTAATACCATTCTTTAGCCAGGTTTCTGTGAATGTGGTGATTGACAAACTGGAATGAAGGGAATTGAGTAATGCTGTGAGGTAATTATAATGTTTGCTCAAGGATCTGACATTGTAATTAAAGATAGTTATGTTATTGTTTGCTCTGAGTATTTTCTTTGCTTGGTCTGCTGTGTATTAACTACAGTTGCTGTTTGATTCGTGTAATTCATTTAATAAAAAGTTTACATCAGTATCAATGCCTGAAGACTCTACAGCAATATTTTTGAATAAGATATTATGTTATTAATAATTAGGATACTTAACTACTTTATCTTACTTGCTAATACAGATGGAAGGTTGGTATCAAGATAAATGCTTGTAATCAAAGATTTATAGTGAATCTATAACTAGACTTAGGAATAAGACTATGTAAATATTCTAAAGCTAAAAAAGAATAAAAAAGCTAGGGAAAATTATAGGACAACAATGAAATTATACACTTTAGCACATGAATTAGCACCTTAATTATTTTAACAAATGTGAGAATATGAACTAAGGTAGATATTTAAATTTATAATAATAATATTTTCATTTATACTAACAAATGAAAGAAAGTAAAATACTGTAGCACCTGAGTTAGTAGTAATACTATTATTATAGTAGTAGTACTATTATTACAGTAGTAGTACTATTATTACAGTAGTAGTACTATTATTACAGTAGTAGTACTATTATTACAGTAGTAGTACTATTATAACAGTAGTAGTACTATTATTACAGTAGTAGTACTATTATTACAGTAGTAGTACTATTATTACAGTAGTAGTACTATTATTACAGTAGTAGTACTATTATTACAGTAGTAGTACTATTATAACAGTAGTAGTACTATTATAACAGTAGTAGTACTATTATTACAGTAGTAGTACTATTATTACAGTAGTAGTACTATTATTACAGTAGTAGTACTATTATTACAGTAGTAGTACTATTATTACAGTAGTAGTACTATTATTACAGTAGTAGTACTATTATTACAGTAGTAGTACTATTATAACAGTAGTAGTACTATTATTACAGTAGTAGTACTATTATTACAGTAGTAGTACTATTATTACAGTAGTAGTACTATTATTACAGTAGTAGTACTATTATTACAGTAGTAGTACTATTATTACAGTAGTAGTACTATTATTACAGAAGTAGTACTATTATTACAGTAGTACTACTATTATTACAGTAGTAGTACTATTATTACAGTAGTTATACTATTATTACTATATGTTACTACTATTATTACAGTAGTAGTACTATTATTACAGTAGTAGTACTATTATTACAGTAGTACTACTATTATTACAGTAGTAGTACTATTATTACAGTAGTAGTACTATTATTACAGTAGTAGTACTATTATTACAGTAGTAGTACTATTATTACAGTAGTAGTACTATTATTACAGTAGTAGTACTATTATTACAGTAGTAGTACTATTATTACAGTAGTAGTACTATTATTACAGTAGTAGTACTACTATTACAGTAGTAGTACTATTATTACAGTAGTAGTACTATTATTACAGTAGTAGTACTATTATTACAGTAGTACTACTATTATTACAGTAGTAGTACTATTATTACAGTAGTAGTACTATTATTACAGTAGTAGTACTATTATTACAGTAGTAGTACTATTATTACAGTAGTAGTACTATTATTACAGTAGTAGTACTATTATTACAGTAGTAGTACTATTATTACAGTAGTAGTACTATTATTACAGTAGTAGTACTATTATTACAGTAGTAGTACTATTATTACAGTAGTAGTACTACTATTACAGTAGTAGTACTATTATTACAGTAGTAGTACTATTATTACAGTAG